TCCTTGTTTATATTCCTGCTTTTTGCAGATGTTAGCATGAGATTTACATCATTTAGCAACAGAATACTTTTCAGTTGGTTGGGAAGGGAATTGACAGCAAAAAAAAAAGGGGGTACTCTTCACATTTAAAGTAAAAATTGTAATACCCAGGTAGAAATTCTTGTCTATTCATTTCTTTCTTTTTTAAGTTTTCAGATTGCTGCGAACCTCAGCATGGAACGCTACGCCCTAGTGTTTGGTGTAAACACCTTCATTGCTCTGGCTCTGCAGACTGTGCTCACTCTCATCGTGGTAGATGCCAGTGGGCTTGGCTTAGAAATTACCACTCAGGTAAGATTAGTTTTGGCACTGAAGATGGTATGGCTTGATCAGGGTGACAGAAGTGGAGCATATCTAATGAAAACAAATTCAAATATAGACAGATATAAAATAAAAAGTGTCCCCTCCTTCCTTCAGCCATCCCCTGTCTGTAGTTCTTTGCTACCTGGAGCATGTTGGGACCATTATCTTTTAAAGTAACTGACCAGCCCAGTGAAGCTGAGAGGTAATATTCGTTTCTTCTAGGCCGAACCCTTCTCCTTCCTCATCCAGTTATTTCCATTTTCAATTCTGTGCCTGGACTACTATATCCCATGTTTGAGATGCCCTACTTCATCTCACTGCTCTCTCTCCGTCTCCTCCCTTCTTTGTTTCAGATTCCCCTTCACCCAATTACCAAGGTCATGACTTGCTGTTGATGACTAGCATTATGATTCTTAACACATGGCCTACTGAGAAAACACCTGCACAAACACCCAAGACAATGTGAATGCTTTTCTTCATTCAGAAATTGTACAGTTGTACGTGCCTCATGCATTGTGAGTCTGTAGGTAGGGTTTGCTCTGTACTTTGGTAAAATGAGCAATTGAATCAAAAAGTGCCTACCCCAACTCCATACCAGGCCCAGTTCCCTCCATACTTACTAGTTTTCTTAGGCTACAAAGACCCAGCTCATCAGCAGTAATTAATTTGTTTTACTGAAGAGATCTAAAAGAAATGATGATAATAGGTAGTATGTTTTGAGGGCTTTCTATGTGCCAGGTACTTTGTATAGATTTTTGCAGAGTTGTCAGGATTAGACATAGAGAAAATGACTCTGAGAATTAAAGAATGTTAAGTTGTTTAAGGTCACACAGTCAACGATAGTGTGGCAGAGCCAGGATTTAAACCAGCATCTAACTCGAAAGCCTACTGTCTCCCACTGCACCTTGCTGCCTCGAAAAGGTTGCGGGGGAGTAGAGAGGAGGGAGCTTATTACTATCAATATGATTCCCAATTACTACCAGTAGTGAAAACCTCAAGACCTCTCAAGGAAGGGTTTGGTGCTTACATTTGGGATAGAGGGTAAGAGAAAAACTAAGCGCTTTTCATCTTGTTATAAAAATGGTGCGTTTAAACATATGGAATACTAGAATTTTGTGGACTGTGCTGAAACTCTAACTGCCATGATTAATAGGTTTTCTATAGGAACATGTATCCAAATTTCTAAAAACCTGGCTCAAAGCCTTAGTGACTCTCTTACTGTACCCATGAACCAGCTTATAAGTATTTAGTAAGTTATTTTAAGAAGAATATGATCATGAAGATGTTGATAAACTATGTCACATTAAAAAGTTGGCTTAGAGAAAATTCCTATGTAAAGTAATCCTATAATGGAATATAGCTGACCTTCTACTGCCCTCTTCTGGGCAAGAATAAAAGTTCTTCATCTTCAGAACTTAGCCTGTTAGTCATACTTCCCTGTCTGTTTGAGGGTAGAGACCATGATTCAGTGATAGCAACAACAGCAACAAAAATAACAACAGGATTAACAGCAGCGGCTTATGCTATAAACATTTACAGACATGATCTCATCTATTCCCAACAGCCTGTAAAGTAGGGAATATTATGAATTCCATTTTGTAAATCAAGACAAGGCCCAGCAGTTAAGTATCTCAGTTAAGGTCCCACGACCGGTAAGAGATGTAGTCAGACCCCCACTCGGGCGTCCAGGCTCGGGTACCACCATGCTATGCTGCCTCTTTGTATCTTCAGTGCCTGACATACTGGGTAAGCATACAGTGTTTTCTGAATTTTTATTGAGAAACAACATACCTTTAATTATAGAGTATATTCGCATATATATAATAAAACAGCCCACTTTCTAATTGATAATTCTATAAATTAGTTCTTTCCCTTTCTTTAGTTCCTGATCTACGCTGGTTATTTTGCACTCATCGCTGTGGTTTTCCTGGCTAATGGTATGGTCACTATTACGAAGAAATATAGAAAGCAAGAAGATCCGGAATCAAGTTCTCAAGGAACTACTTCATAATACACTGCTGACGACCTTCTTCTTATAGCAAGAACTCAGTACAGCAACTGTCCTTGGATAATTTAATTTTTTTAAGGTGTAGACATATATTTAAGAATGTGTATTTCATGGCTTCAAAGCAGTCAATTGACTGTATCTTTGTTCCTATAGTAACATAATACTAACTGTTCAGAGGAGCCAGAAGTCAAGTTTATTTCGTGGATTATTTAAGGACAACTTTTCTGATTCAAAAGTGAATTTGACTTTGAAAATTAAGTAAGAACAATCAAGCAGCACATGGTGTTGTATACCTGCTAGCAAATGAGTCTGGTGTGCGATAGTACTTCCACATCTGATTTGCTAGAAGGTTGGCCTGGTGGGACCAGGGCTTCACAGGGGCCACAAGATGTTACAGGTCAGGATCAAAATACGTTCAACTTATTTTGGTGTTATTCATGTGCATTTGTGTTTCTACAGATGAAAGCTGTTTCTAACACTGGCAGTATTTGCTCTGGTTTGGTGTTCTGTCCAATAAGGAGTGTGTGTCTTTTCTAATATTAAGTTATCTTTAAAGGTTCATTGTATGAACTCAGTTCCCATCTTGACAGTTATGTATTTATGTAGATTTTTTTAGAAGTACAGTTTTGCATTATTCCTATGCTTCCCAGAGAAGCTCATTTAGTTAGAAAATAAGGCAAGTTTTGAAGCCCTGCTAATAATAATATAAATGAAGAGACCTAATCAGAAAACTCAAGCTAGGTTTCCTTGTCTTTTATTCTTTAGTATGAGAGACTATTAATTCCATGATGAAAAGTTAGAATATGGGCTAAAGACAACTACCCACTACCCCATTTCGTATTTGCATTCCCTTTTATTTCCAAAATAAAATGAAAAAGTCTTTTTTTTATAATAACTTCATCCCCATTTATATCTTTTATATTATTTGCCGTTCTTATCCAAGATAAAGATGTCATTAGGAGTTGGATTATTCCAAGAACTTTTTCACAAACTGAGCCTCTTTTTGATTATCAGTGGGACAGGAACCAGGATAGACTTGATTCCTGCATTTTGTACAATAAATCTGCCTTTATTTCTAAGGGTGGATCGTCTTGAATATTTGCTTCAAAGAACAATTGCTAGTGATTCCATTTCCAAGTTACTTGAAAAAATATTATTCTATATACGCTTAATCCTCAGACCAGCCTACTAAGTGGCTGCTAGAATATGTGAGACATGAAAACTATTTTAAAGCCAACTTTGTTGCCTTACCTTGAAAAGAATCTAGGTAGCTGCTTTTAACTGGTGTGTTAACTTTTTTAGAACCACACAGATAAGAGTGTGAATAATAATGTCAAGATTGCAAAACTGACATATTTATTTGGGTTAAGCAGGAACTTTGGAATCAAATGAATAGGATATGAATAGGTCCTTTTCTAGTCAACCTCTTTTTAGATGTAGAGAAAGGAAAAGAACACTGAGGAGGAGAAGGGGAAGTGATGTCATAAAAGCAGCCTCTAATTTTATATTTTGTCTTTTTTTTTTGCTATATAAGGAATTATTTACTCAGAAACAAGTAGAAAATTGGTGTTTGAGGGATTTTATTTAATTTTTTTAATAAAATAGACTATGGTACAATCAAATTGTTCACATTACCAAAGCGCTATTTCCCTAGAATTTAATTTGATGTTTGTGGCACACAACTGGAGCCTTTATTTATCTAAAACGGTAATAAGTTCAAATCTTAATGTGTGGCCATATTTGTAGAATGCTGGACCATGTTTGCAAGTTGTACTGTATGCAGTTTTGCAAAGACGTGGAAATAATTTGTTGTACTTTTTATTCAATTCTGTATAGAGTATAAAATTATTTTTATTAAATAAATATTTTACAGTATATTTCCCTTTTTAATCAAAATTATTTTAAGTTTATCTTTTGCTTTAGTAGGACCTTTCAATTACATCTTTAAATCTTTTAATAATTTCTAAGACAAATTTTATATTAAGCCTTCCCCTCACCAGACCTTCCCAATTAACCTTGTCATTCTATTCATTCTTCCATTTTTTGTGATCATTACCTTTGACTTCCCCCTTATATTTGCTGTTTTCCTAATGTTTTTCTAGCAGCACATTGTACTGTTTATTTTTCTTGGTCCTCATCTTAATACCTCTCATCTTTGTTTCTAAAGCAGTCTCCCTTTTAGAAACTGAAAGGACCCACATTTCCTTTGCTGTTGACTGAATTTTAAAAATAAAGGAAATTAAATCGAGAGAAAGTACCATCTTGTTTTGAAACTTCTTGTTTTGGAACAAAGCCTTTGTTCCAGCCCAAAATATTCTTGATATCCAGGGAAGCTTCTTCCTGCTATCAGCTGAGAACCATTTGTTCATCCTATCCCGGAAACCAGTCTTCTCGCCGTACCCAAATAAGCACCTTCCCTTCACTATCCTGTTCTCAAACCAGCTTCATTAAAGCATTTCCTTGATTATCACTGAAGACTTGGAAAATTTTTCATGCAAAAAAAAAAATTTTAAGTTTTCCGTCCCCATAGCTGTCTTCCCTGTATCTTAATGTTTTTCAGATTATATGCCTTCCACACAGGGACCATGTCTCATTTTTGTCTTTTGTTGGAAAACACAGCCTAGTGCCTTGTGAATATTGATATGTAATAAATGATATATAATGCTCTCAATATAGCCACCTGCCAGTGCAATAGCTAAATGCCCACTATTTAAAAGAACATGAACATAAAACATTAAGAGAAGATGCCTACCAATAATCTCTAGTCCACTGGGCAATTTATTCAAGGCATTGCACTCCCAACAACGGAAATGGGATATGTTTTACTTATTATGGCATCCTCATAATTAATACCTTACATTTGTTTAACATGGTTTTGTTTGGAAAAGGCATTTCTGAACATCATCGTTCACGGCCCGGGGGGTTGGGGCCCCTGTGCTAGGTGTTCCAGTGAAAGCCGTGACACATTGGGGAAGTCACTCTGCTGAGCTTCAGTTTCCCCGTCAGTAAGTGGGGATCACCTACTTCCCAAACTTGTTGTGAAGAAATGAAAGGACACATGGAAGCACCTGTCACCCCGGAGACAGAGTAGGCGGCTGAGGAATCAGGTCCTTTACGCTCCTTCACAATTAATTTGTAACTATCAATCTCAAAATAGCACTTGCAGAGGAAACGTTTTTTGAATGTTTGAATCGAAAAGAAAATGATCAGAATCTTAACCCTTCCCCCCCTTGTTTTTATGATGAAAAAGTCATGATTCCTGCTCCCAAGGAATTTAATACGTTGTGATTCGAAAAGATAAATAAAAAGACCTTAGATGCCTAAGTGCAATACAAGATAAAGTGTCAGGTACAGTGACAAAAGGCTTGGGTCTCAGAGAACAAGGACATTGGGAAAATCATGAGTAGCTTCCCGGAGGAGGTGACATTTGAGCTGGTTATGCGGGATGGGTAGGGTCTTTATCAGAAATTTGGAAAGGGTAACTGTAGTGGAGAATGGCATAAATAAAGGTACGAAGAAAATGGTACAATCAGCAAGGAATGTAGAGAGGAATAGGGTGAGACAAAGTTGGAAAGACAGTTTGAGGTCATTTTCTAATGTTTATTAATCGGAGATGGGGATGGGGAGAAATGACTAACCCTATCTTTAAGAAGTTTAATCTGGCAGTAGTGGATAGGATACATTTTATGGGAAGATACTATCTAGAATTGCTGGTTGAATGGCCCTTTCCATGGGCTAAGCCTGGGCGAGGAAGGCCTTTATGGCAGTGGAGGAAAGACAAGATCGACTTGATGTTACTGTATCAGATTCTACAATGTGCGCCCATATTTAAAAAGGTGGCTAAAAAAGTGTAAATAACTTGCCCAAGATCAATATCTGTAATGTGGATGAGCAGGGGTGGCATCCTGATTCCCGCCCTGCGTTGTAAATTAATGGTGACTTCCGCCTCTGTGCTGCCGTCGTTGGTAAGGGTTGAGGCAGCCGTGGGAAGGGAGCTCGCCCCCGACCCCGGAAAACAGCTCCAGAGAGGAAGAGCACCGGGGGGCTCCAGCGGCGGGAGCACAGACGGGCAGGGCTGTTCTCGGACGGCTGGGAGTGAGGAGCCTCGGGATTCGAGTAGGGGGTGGGGTGAGGAAGCTGCAGAAAACCCGCGGGCGCACTGCCCCGCCACCGCCTCCCCTGGGGCGCGCG